GCATACATGTATTCCAATGGCTCTCAGGGCCCCATTATAAAACAGGCAAAGAAACCAAGAAATGACAAGCATGTAATTCAATGGTAAAATGTCACATCTGGTCATATACAGTAAAAAGGACAAATTTAACTATTTTCCTCCAATATAAAACCCTGACATTACAAAATGCATGATTTTATACCGGTATGGCGGAGAGATCAACATATGTGGTTATAATGGGAGTGGATGGGACATTTTTGTCCACGAGTGGCTAATGTGTGACTTTTTTTGTTTAATCTGATTCTGTGCAAAAACTAATAATCAACCAAAATCAATGTTGTTGCTAATCTTTGACATATCCAAGATTGTGATAAAAAAAAAAGCCGACCCCACCAACATTTATTATATGGAAAATAACTGCCTTTTTGTGCATGTTTTTCATTGAAAACGCAAATTCATGTTTTCAAACTGGCAGTTCAAGGGTTAAAATCCTGAACATAAGTTAACATGAGGTATTTTTGATCAGGACTGAAGTTGATTGAAAGATTTAACCCCAAAAAGTTTTTTAAAATATTAATCTGTTGTCATTTTTTGTCAGTTTTTGGAAGTGGACATTTTTATCCCGAATGACTAATTTGTAACTTTTTTTGTTCAATATGATTTTGTGCAAAAACTAATAATGCAAACAAATCTATTTTGTTGCTAATCTTTGACATATCCAAGACTGTTATAAAAAAAAGAGCCAATCCCCAGATATGTATTTTTTGTGTTTTCATCATGAAAAAAAACAGCGGTTTCATGTATTCAAAATGGCCTTTAAAGGGTTAAAATCCTGAAAATGATTACATTTTTGGTATTTTCTATTAGGGCGGAAGTTGCTTTAAAGATTGAACCCAAAAAAGTTGTGAAAAAAAACCTTTTAATATAATGTTTTTATGTCTTTTGCAGTAGACATTTTTGTCTCGAATGACAAATTTGCGTAGTCGATTTGTTACACAGTGAATTAAAGACCGATTTGAAAAATTGAAATTCCAAAATAGATCGAGAAAATAGCCTTGTTACAAAAAATCAAGCCATTTGCAACAACACAACCAAAGTTATTGCAAAATTAAAAGTGAAAAATGACCCATATGGACAAAAACGTCCACAGTGATACACTTAACCTAAATGTTGTCATTTTGATCATCATAAAAAAAAACAAGGGCTTCATTATCATGATATTATTAAGACATACAGAATAGATGTTACGTAGACATTTCAAAGGTTAAATACAAAATTAAACATATCAAGCTGTTTTAACTAAAAAATTCAACAGTCTAAACAATAGGTTAAAAAAAAAGAAATGTGGTATTCATCTTATGAATAGTTTTTTTACGGCAAACATGACTCATTCTCCAGTCCCGGGTTATTTGTCTTATGTGATAGTAAAATGAATATATTTTGGACGGTTTATCAATAAAAAAGCAACTTATAATGGCTAAAAAAAAAAAAAATAATATTATAGCTGCAGCCTTTCTGTTATTAGCGAACAAATATTGAATTGTTGGCTTTTTGGATTCTTAAGCCAGAAAATGTACCTTATTCAAGAACAAAAATGCATCAAATATAGACCAAGTGCAAAGTATCACCATAATGATACTAGCAACAATCTGAATTAAAAACTTTGTTACAGCTGTAAGGCCGCTCCCTTTTGTTTCCTCCCAGCTGAAACCACACCCCGCTGCTGCTGCTTTGTTCCACCAGGCCTGCTGAATATTCAGATGAAGGCGGCGTCGGCCTCTGTGGCTCTGAGGCCTTTAAATGGCAGATATATTCAAGCCTTTAGAAATGACACATGGGCAGATTCAGAATCACAAGCTTGTGAACACAAACACTGTCTTGTTTATCTCTGCCTGTTTCTGCCTCCTTTCTGTTACTCTCTCTGTGTCTTACAGTGAATCCTTCGGCTGAAGGGGGGTCTCTCCCAGACCCCAGAGACATGGGGGAGGATGGAGTCAGGATTATTATGGGGAAAATTGTGGAAACAAATAACAGAGAATTTTTCATTACATCCTGCTCCAAAATCAGACAATGGAATACAGCAAAAAAAAATTGTTGAGTTTATTCAGAGATACGCACAATAATGTTTGTGTGAGCATGTTATTTCTGTGGCCGCACTCGTGAACACACATCGCACTCATATAATGGCTCCATTGACCAATAATCCAGAAAAAACTGAGGGGCCATCAATGAGCCATTTCAAACCTCAGAGACGGTTTGTCTACAGGCCGGAGACGACTTCAGACCAAATGTTAAAAGCAAAGCATGTCCCCAAAGTGTAAACCAACACTTTGTTTATTGTGGTGTATCATATTGTGCAGAAGATGACTAGACCGTCTCATCCAAAACCAATTCAGGAGAGGGGCACTTTTATCTTGAGCAATAAACTAATGTGATATATAATCAAACTGACCAAAATAACGATTTAGGACCAGCAACCAACATGGGCGTCCATTATTCCACAGTGTTGGATTTACCACTGCTTTAAAATATCAGCTATAGCAATATTATGTAATGTATGTGTGAAGTAATTGATACATAAAGATTTCATTTCGGCCTCGTAGACTGACACCAATTTATGACACATTTCAGTCTCATTGTATTGTTCAGTGAGGCACAGATGACATCACCAGCAGGAGCTATTCAGTACAGGTGACAAAGCCCTCTTCCTGCTTTTCTCTACATGTGCGTCCCCTCTGGGGATAACTCACACGCTGTTAATCCAGCTGGTGCCATCTGGCAACAAAACACATACGCGCACAGACACTGATTGATGCAAACACACACAAAACAGTTATCTCATCTTCAGTGTGTCTGCTGTATCTTACTGGTCCACTCAAGCCAGAGCACACCGAGGAGGAGACAGTGATGAATGCTGATATGATGCCTAATGTGACAGCAGCCAGGTCAGCCTGATAGGGCCGAGGCATTGTGGGTAGAGACACACTCTTGAGTCTGCAAGATGAGTGCTCAGGCAGGGAGCTGCACCTTAGTCTGAGCACCGAAGCAATGGATAATGGTAAATCCCCCCACCCCCCCACCCAAGGAGAAAATGCTGCTGGGGTGCATTTACCAAACCACCTTTGACACTGCGCACGGGTGTAAAGACACTCAAGGCCGCAGACAAGGACAGACAACCAATGCTGACTCAAATACCATTTAGAGGAGCTGGGTTAAATAAAGATTACCACAGAAAGAAATGCAAATAAACCTCAGCAGATGTGTCACCCAGGAACAGGGGAGGACATAAGGTCAGCCAGCGATCCTGGAGTCAGAGACAGTCTGTTTTCAGTCTCACATTCTGAGCCATATGTTTGGCCTGATGACCAACATATCTTGAGATCACATGTGAGGACCATGAGACAGTCCAGCTTCAGCTCAGCTGTAACGCCCCAATCCTACACCCAGTGATGTCATGTTAACCAAATGTTATTTCATCCTACTGAGGTTGGTGAGAGCAACACCCACTGGATGTCTCCGGTCTTATTGAGACCACAAAGAAAAAGTGAACTTTTTCTCCCCTGTGAATCCTTTTTCTAGCTGTGATAGATGGTGTTTCAGAGTCATCCCTGCCCCTTGACTGCCCATATCCGACGTCTCACACTCAAAGAATGCCCACCGCTGACCACAGAGACATAAACACATACACTCAGGATGAGTTCATATGTTCCCTCTCTCACATCGTTTATAACTCTGTACCTTTAGCGCACCACCCTCAGCTAAGGCCTCAGCTGGAGACATCATCACATATATATACCATAAAGGGCTGAAACTAACATTGGCTTTCATTATCGATTCATCTTCTGATTATTTTCTAGATCGAACGATTCATTGTTTGATGATGTCAGTAAATAATGAGGCATGTTCTTTGCAGTTTCTCAAAGTCCCAGGTGATGTCGTTGCATGTTTTTTACATTTTTGAATTAAAATCACGATTAAAATCAACCAATTATAAAAACAGTTGGGAATAATCTTTCTGTCAATGGACTTGCTGGTTAGTCGTGTTATTGTTACAGCTCTAATACCAATGCGTACTAAAATGTATAGACAACAGAATATTTAGCGCTATATGTCAGCTGATGCAATCAACTTCCACAAAGAAAACAAATTCTGCTTCTTAACAGCTTTAAAAATTCTCATTCTTCTGCCACCCTTCTAAATGTGAACAGTCATGGACACAATTGAGGTATAATGCAGGGCGATGACTGAATGTGTTGTATGAAGAAATCTTGAAGACCAAGTCAGTCCTTGGGCCCTACCCTATTCCTTCCCGAAGCCCTGACCTGAACAAAGACCTGCGGCTGGGATTGGACAGTCAGTCCGGAGCTAAAACACGATCATGGATGATATAGTGTGGATAAGGCCTTTCCATTAGATAACAGTTGTACCGGAAGCTCATTTTTGACCTACGCTCCACATTTTTACTGGGAAACTTTTTTTTAACTGCCCATCGCCACCTCTCCTCTGCCTCCCCCTTTTCAATGCTTCTCTCTCACTCTGTGTCTCTCTTTCTCTCTGACAGGATTTCCTCCAGACACAAAGAACACCATGCACTGCCAAACAGATAAGCTCGGCCCAATGACTTGACACAAGGAGCCCATTCCTGTTACTTTATTACAAAAGGTGTTGATCCGACTGCTGAACCGCGGGATGAAACATGTGTGAAAACAATTAACCTTCTCACATTGGGCCACCCCCTTTCCCAGTTATTGTACAACCCTGTAAATTATAAATGAAAGCTGATTGGGGGCTTTACTGTACATGTACACTACACCAGCTAAAGCCTGTACGTGCATTGATATGTCCTGCATGTGTTGCCTTTTTTCTTGGCTGTAAGGGGTTTATAAAATCATGTGGTAACAGTCCTTTATAATTAAATAGCTTCATACTTTAGGCACACTGGGTCCATGAGAGTTTGGGATGTTTTATTGTGACTCGTTTGCAGCATTAAGACTTCAGCAGGAAAAATATCATCATCTTACCTTCCCATAGTCGGTGGTGAGGACCAAAGAAGCATCATCACAAGAGCTGACGGTGGAGGGGAGGAGCTGCTCTTTGTGCCTCAGCCACACACGGGCCCCCTGCAACACAATAGACAGAACAACATCATTAGCATCTGGATACAGGGCTCATATTTATAGGCGCAGTTGACATTTTGTGTAAGATGGTCTCCTGCATAATAATGTATTCCTGGAAGCTCTGAAAAAAAAAAACCCAATCGGTGTCATTATTTTTCCTCTGTTTCCCCTGAATGTCCCTCTTTGTGTCCACTTTGTCTCCTCCATGATCGCCTGTTTGTGCTTTTATCATGTTCTGTTGCTTGTACCTCTTAGAATAGTTAACAAATTGTACGGTGTCCTTGGGTGTCATGAAAGGCGCCTTAAATAAAATGAATTATTATTATTTAGAGCATGGAATACATACTTAATATTAATCAAAGGTAGTTTTAGAGACATAAAACATAACAAACATAGTCCATCTTTCGCGACTTACAGACCTTTACCATGTCTTGGATATATTTTTCTATCCCTTATTATATCAAATTGCCTCATCTCAAGTGTCATAATGTTAAGTTCATTATTTTTATATATGTGTATAACATTTCATAAAAGTCAAAACATCTCTATGTTTTAGGTAAAAATAGTACATTTGCCATCAATTATTTAAGCACCAGATGTATTCTTATTTAAATCTGCAGGACACTGTATAGGATTAAGCCAAAATGCGTTCAAACTGAACTGCAGTGTCTGATGTGGCTCACAGCTAACAATGGAGGTCTGCCACAGAGATGCTACATCAGGCTGACCTTTTTTGAATATGCAAGTGGTCTTTTGCATTACAATCACATTTCAATGACAAGAAAACGCAAGTTTCCAACCAAAAATATGTTAAGCAACATTCCTAGGTGTAATATCAACACGCCAGGTGAGTTATATCTGCTTGGATAGAAGAGACAGCAGAGATATTCTAGAAAAGCATAAAAAAAGCTTTGGATAAAAGCGTCAGCTAAATGCAATGTAATGTAATGTAAAAAGCAGGGATTACATCATCTGGTTTTCTTCCTCCTCTTCACTTTTTCCACATTTTTCTCAACATTGCACGTCCCTCTGTGCCACATAGCTGCTGCCTCACCACACTAAACTGGCACAGTTATCCTCTTATTTAACTGTCAGTGCCTTTTAGTAGAGAACATCTGTTAGCCAGGCCTGCATGCAGAGGGTGTGTCAGAGACTAAAACTAGCACTCAGTCATACACACTCAGTAAAACTGTCAAAGAGGTTTAGCAGATTGATGTTTCATCCCATAAAATAAAAGAATAGTGACCCAAGTTAGCTTGTGGCACTTTAGCAAAACACTCATGACAAATGTTTATGTCTACCATCCTTTCTTTTTTTCTATATTTAATTCAAGGAAACCACAGCAGGCTTCTTGCCAGTTGTCCCAGATCAGATCCTGGTTCCAGACAGCGATTATCAGCAGGACTACAGCTGATCTGAGCAGCCTGGTGTCCTGTGTTTGTGTATCCACGTGAAGTCACCGGCCTTCCCAGACATGTTTGTTAGCAACTCAGTAACCAGGAGCAATAACAGGAATCTGAGGCTGATTGCTCACTGACTGTCATTTCCTTACAGTGGCTCAAGATACATTCATAGAACCGGCTGTGTTTGAAGGAGTAAACATTGTAAATCTTTAACGATGAGTTAAGAAACCGCAAATAAAACCTTTGTTAAACAATAGAGAATATTGGAAATCATCTGATAATGAAACTCTGACCTTCAAATTAAACGTCTACATTTTAGGAAAGAGAAAAATAATACCACTCATATCTGTACATTTTACTACATTAAATGTAAAGCTGAAGCCAGCAGATCCTTAGCTTAGCATTAAGGCTGGAAACAGCTAGCCCAGCTGTTCTGCTTTAAAAAGGTAACAACATTTGGGTTTATCTTTAAAGCTCACCAATTCAAATATTATGTGTGGTTTGTTTAAACTGTAAAAAGGGTTAGGGTTGAACATTGACATTGTAATGTTATGATGGGTTATAAGAGTGATCTTACCACTTCACTTTCGGCTTTTAAGAAAGCCAGAAAGTGTATTACCCAAAATGTCAAGGTTTTCCTTTAAGAAGCCTGGGTGCTAATTAACCCACAATCCTTTGCAGCATGTTCAATCTCATCATTGATATCTTCAGCTGTACTAACAAAACAAAACATTTTAAATAGGATGTGCACTTTGAAGGAATGTGCCCTGTAGGTCATCCTCTCTTGTAAAAAGCTTGTCTTTGATAAAGTAAACACCATCAATCATCACGACCATTGAAGTGGCCGGAGGAAACATGCAGCAAAGGGAATTGTGTGTCCAACAGAGCATAAAACTGAACAGATCAATATGCATGGATTCCACTAGGAAACCGTATACAAGGTCACCACTTTCAGACATCAATCCTCATTAACTATTTACAACAGGCTGCCACGTGTGCGCACACACACTCTCATCCGTGGGGCACAACGTTTTGCCACCAGGGTCAGAACGAAGATCAAGATGCTTTTGTTTAATAGCTTCTATATTTACATGAAACATCATCTGCTTTAATGGTACTGAATCCCAGAAACAAAAAGGAAGTTGGTTCAATAAAGAATTACCATTCAATAAATGCAATTGATACACCGCTCAGAGTGATGATTGGTCTCTATTCTCTTCTTATTCTGTGATTCAGGCCTCCTTTTTGGACAAAGGGTCACTCAGTCCAACCAGCCAGTCTGTAAACCTACTTCCATCATCAAGGACATTTTTTCTCCTCCAGTCGGCTAATGGAGCGCAGCTAAATGTAGCTCTCTCAAACCACGGGGGAGAGCGGTGAGTGGGATGAAGGGGGTCGTGTAAATTAGGATGAGGCTGAGGGGAGGGGCGAGGCAGAGGGGAAAGAGGAAGGGTGCAGGCACCTGATAATGTCCCGCCTTCCATTGTCTGGAAAAAGAGGCAGACAAACAGAAACATCAGGACACAAATATAACAGAGGCATTCTCCAGCACGTGGATTATATCAGTTTTAATGTGAGACGATTGGTGATTTCCACACCAGCGGCCGACAGTGTCTGCCTGGTACCAGCCTGGCATTCATGGCCTATTCAGGGAAAAGCTGCTTCACGTGAATTGCAGAGGTCCAGTGAGGAGATTAATAGTGTTTACTCTATAGATTTAAGAAGATCAGCTGCTGTTATGTAACTGGAAATCACAGGGACTTGAACTCAGCAGAATGTTGCCGGTACTCTTCGTTGTTCTAGAGGCTCTGTGCATTGGGGCTGACATTATAAAGAAACATACGAAGTAACAAAATAAAGATTACAAGAGATTTTACACAGTGGTAAAACAGTGGGCAAGCCATGGCATGAAAAGCAGTGGGATGTGTTTCTACACCACATCGCGGTATTGCTTCAACTTCTGTGACGCAAATATTAAAGCACAATTTTCCAGGACTTGAAAGGTTCAGTGCTGAGTCAGAGTCTCAGAGGTTTTCCATTCCCATAAACAAAGACAAGCTCCGTAACAATTTAATGGATACTGACAGATACAACTCACCACACAGCACGCTCATTGCAAATGGTGCAAGACTTCAGAGAACTAAAAATTCCCAGTTAATTAAATGAGTCAACACTATATGGTAAAAACCAAAAGCCAGCCAGCTGGGCCATAAAGATGCCAACTCTGGCTTGGCTTCCTCCATCAGCGTCTGGGCAGTGAGCTGGTCTCTGGAGAACTGCCCACCAGCCACTATTATCTTAATTGTGCAGAAACAGCCACATCATAGTCATCGAACAGACGAAACGCTGAACTAGCTTCTTTTTTAAGAACACCTATTCGATTCTAACAATCTTTAGTAGCCAAAATGTAAAAAATATTCTAATCAACTTAAAAGGCAGTAAATTATGAACAACTCTGGCACCCCAATGTTCTCTAATATCCATTACCCTCTCAAAGCTGTTGCCCCCTGATTGTATGCAAGAAGATGATCCTAAATTTGACTTGCTTTACCAATTTACCTTTTTACATTTATACGATTATTAAATGTGTAACCTTGCCACAAGCAGAATGAGGAGGCATTCATCAAGTTTTTTTGCAAACGTCTTCAGACTTTCATGCCCTCTGTAATAAAGACTATTGGCTGTGAGCAATGAACACAATATAAAACAACATCCTGAAAACATTTGGATATTCAGATCTGTTTTAAATCAACTCAGGAATGTGTCTCGGTAACCATCAGCTAGTAACATTTCAATTGGTGGAACAATTGGTGTTTTTCTCCAGGACAACCAACAGTGTTTGTCCACTTGTTTGTGTCTTTGTAAGTGAGTGTGTGTGCCTGAAGGGTATACAAGTAGAGATGAATTGTCTCAGCAACAGATGGTCTCACCAAAGCTCCTCCCCCTTGACCCCTCCATCCTCAGGAGCTCTGTCACTAAGTCAGGAAAAAGGCAACCACCTCTGATTGAGAGCTCAGAAGTTAACCAGGTGGAAATATCCCAAACAATGGCCAGCTGGGACGCAAAAGGGACACGTGTTTCAGCTCAAGTTAAGTCCCCTTAACTTGAATCACCTGCTGCTGCAACACCAACCAATCTGACTAAACCAGTGAGATTGTGTGTGTACTGCTTGCAGACAAATAATAGAAAAGTACAGTGATGTTATAATGGAACACAGCCTTCACCGGTTTTAATTAGAAAGATAACCCCCACCACCGCGCCTCCGGTAACCAATTGTTTTAACAGCCCCATTAAAAAGCAAAGCAGAACTGCTGCTGTGACATTTCCAGCTCAAGCTCATTTCACATTCTTAATGCTGCATGTCACTGGGCACATGTAGCACTGCTGAGGCAGAACCCAGCTGATAAAAGTAACCCGACCCACCTAAACCAACCAGAGTTTGAGGCTTGAGTCTCCGTAGATTATACAATGACATCCAGCTCAGAGATTTTCTAATGAATGGGCCTAAAATATTTAAGCGCTAACACAGTACAAGGTGCAACGGCTCTTTCTCTGCTGTCTGACGTAGCAAGAGCGCAGTCGGTATCAGATGATCGTATC